CAGGAAATCTTTACAATTGAAGTTCCATCCAGCATTACTGATTACTGTAAGCTTAAAATTTTGATTATAAGAGTGATTGCTTTGTCGGTAAGTCTTTAGTTAAGTTGTTGCTTTTTATGCAAATTTGTTTTCTATCATTTTTATATATTTAATATATAGGTCCTCATCGATCTAAGTCTGAAGGTTCTAAGAGATAATGTTAAATAAAATATTATATTTTTATTTTATATATTGTTATAAATTCATTTATGATACTGTCAATTCAATTTACTTTCGAATGTATTTAAGCGTAATACTTTTTAAGGAACAAATAAACTTGTTCAATAAAACAATCATCATTGTATTAAATTCAATGCCAACCTTTTACATGTATGCTAATAATGAAAATAATTACCATTATTCAAGAGTTACACACATCTATACCTTTCGCGAGTTGGCACATGTTAACAAAAAAAATAAAGAAACTAAGGCAGAAACAAATAACTTATCGTGAATTTGTCAAAGGTGAAGGAATTGCAAACCACGTGAATAAAATATTAGTAGAATCATTTGACATTTACCATAAAAGTAAAACAATAATCAAAAATGAAATGGTAGACATTTATTGATACTTGTCCAAAGGTCGTCATTTATAATAACGAGTCAATTAACCTTCTAGAGTGAGAAGAATGTCAAAGAAAAAATGAGTGATCTCATTAAAAAAATTGAAGAAAAAGAGCCAGCAGATAACATAAATTATTACAAGCTATCTTGAAAAATTAGAAGAGTATTTAAAGATTATTTTATTCAAATGATTTATCTTTACAAATTCATTGATCAATTTATTTTTGATGTTAAAAATAAGGAGAGATGGATTGGAAGCACCAGGATATTCGAATTCAAAAATGCTTGAAAAATAAGAAAGTATCAAAAAAAAATTTTTTGCATTATTTTTAAATCACCAAATCGCCTACCTAAACTTATATAACAAAAAATTAATAAATTTATATTAGAATTTTGACCTTTACTTATATTTGAGTCAAAGAAGATCTTTTATAGCAACAAAATTTTAATTTTAAATTCAGAGAAAACATTAATATATCAGTGTGTATTATTTTTATTACAATTTCAAAAAGAAATATTTAATTTATAAAAATTTGAAATCTTGTCAAATTTAAAAAGTAGTTGAAATGGCACAGATATTTATCAGTAATATCATCAAATTGAGAATTATTGGTTGAATTGTAAAGAAAAGACTTCATTATATGAATAATTAACCTTTTTAATTTCATGTAGCAACAATCATCTAGTAGACTATCAAGATAAATTGTAATAAGCCCACAATGAATTACTAAATATTTAAGCGAAGGTGGAAGAAATTCTTTTGATAGAATCGAAGATTCAGAAATAACAGAATTGCTATACAGAAATGTAATAGTTAAGTGGGTTATTTGTAATTTTTGAATTAAGTCTTTAAATATCTGATCATGAGGAAATGGACGATAGCCCTTGAGAATAAGATGAGTAAGATTAGGACAGTTTTCTATTATAGAAAGCATCACTTCTTGTGTTAACACTTCTAAGGTTAATTCTTTCAAGTTTGGCATTTTAATATTCATCAAAAGTCTTTTAATATATAACTT